AAACGGCGGAGATAACACTGCCGACATAGTCGTTCCACGATAACCTGGAAAATTACACCAACGTGTAAAAACTGCCCTGGTGATTGAACCCGGATTTAATCGAAAAAAAGCAAAACTAATTATATTTTATTGTTTAATATACCCGAGAAAGGTCTTAGGACGATAAGTCGATCAATAATTAATCGTATCAACCATGGGATCTTTGTGTTAATACTAAAGATTCTGACAGAACAGTGCTACAATCAAATCGATTAGAAGGTAGTATATTATTTCAGGTATCATTATTTCAAACACGATCTTATAATTAAGTTTGACAATTAATTAATCTTTATGTAAGGTATTGGTTGAGATAAAATAGTCAGTGTCACGAGCGGGATTCGAACCCACGACCTTCACCTAAATACGCCGCTGCTCTACCACTTGAACTATCGTGACTGAAAAATGGCAAAGAGGATGGAAAATTCGAAAGGTGGGGTTGAGATGGAAAGTTAGTGTCACGAACGGGATTCGAACCCACGACCTTCACCTAAATACGCCGCTGCTCTACCACTTGAACTATCGTGACTGAAAAATGGCAAAGAGGAGGGAAAATTCGAAAGGTGGGGTGAGATGGGAAGTTAGTGTCCGAGTGGATCGAAGTAAAGATAGTTCAAGTGGTAGAGCAACGGGGTATTTAGCCGAAGGTCGTGGGTTCGAATCCCGCTCGTGACACTGACTTTTTTATCTCAACCAATACCTTCAAAAATTAATTAATTGAAAGATATTATTTGGCCAATCGGACCACGAAAACTAGTGAATTTACTAAGTATTACGTTCATTCGTTTTTAATTTTGTATGGGATCGATTTCAAGAATTTGAAATTAATTCATGCTCTGTTCTTCTGATTGAGAAATGGTTAAATTGTTCGGGATGTAAAAGTCGGCTTTTTCTCGGATCAAGTGTTTGCCTAGGGAATCGGCTGGATGGAAGAAGGGTCCATTTCCCACGAGCTCCACTTCACGGGGGTCAGTTCGACTGTGAAATCCGGTTAAATATTCCTTTTTAAGGGGTTAACGAAGACCAGGAAGCTGATTACATCGAATTCAATTTAACGCCGTTTCTTTGAAATAAATAACATACCAATTTTTTAGTCTGAGAAGAGTTTTTCAAATACATAATGGTCGGGATTGTTCATTAAGAACCTAATAGGGGCCGTAAAATAAGTCCTTGGCGTTTTGAACTAGTTCTGTTTTATAACCATTATGTTTTGAAACTTAGTTACCAAAACTGACAAGGGCACGGGAGCTGGAGTCTTCGGGTTGAAGCCAAATACCGAACTGACGGTAATCCTAGGTAAATATGCTATAGTTTTCCAGTCTGAAATATAGTGATTGAACAAGGCTCCAGAGAAATAAAAAGACTAGGAATACATTCCCGGAAGATTGCCATTTTCTCTGACAGGCAGTATAGAGGCAACGAAAAGGTGTTGGACTCTCTGGGTCCTGAACCCTACTGTTGATTAGCATCCTGCCACAAAAGAGCATACATCTTAAAATGGATCCTTATTGAGTCCAAAACCGCCACTGGCAAAGCTGATTAATTACCTTATTAATTAAACTGAAGCTGGCCATAAAAACTGAGGAGCACATTAGATCTATTCAGGTCGAGGTGCAATAGGCCTTGTGGCCGCCTCTTTTATCCCTATTCCTATTCTTATTGTTTACACACTCTGAAAATGGATTAGTTAAGGTGTTAGCATTCTTAAAATGATGAAAAAACTTTAATGGTTCTTTTATAACTAACAGAAAACCGCAGTTCAGACAGCTAGATGCTATTGTAATATTTTTGATGTGCATGCTGATAACTCAGGAGAAAAGCAGTGTCTGTTAGCTTCAGAAACATAAATTTTGATGGTAGACGCCAAGCTGGCCGTCCTTCGATCTTTCATGACGACCAAATTCGAGCTTTTATCACAAATAAACGACAATCAATGACACGAGACATGGCAACACATCTCATACAAACTTAAAAAAAAAAAAATTGTCATTCCTCAAAAGATTAGTAATTATCATATTGTGGCAACAAATGATTATAAAAAGACTTCGTTTTGGTTAAAATAAACGAATTTTTTATTATCCGCAATTCAATTTAATGTATATTTGATTAATTTTCTATAAATTTCTTTTAAGGAAAAATCTGACCTTAGTTACTTAATGTCAAAAGGATTGGATATTATCTATATATTATTATATATTACTTTTAATAATTTATACACTTTACATACATATATTATATTACTTACACACACATACAGGGTGTCATTTTTTGACGCACCATTGGAAAATCAACGCGGGTGCGTTTAAATCTGACTCGAGGCTTATTTCCTTTGATTAATACGTTAATAAAAGAAAGTGCGGCAATTTTCGGTGCACCATTGGAAAATCAACGTGGGTGCGTTTAAATCTGACTCAAGGCCAATTTCTTTTGATTTTAACATTAAAAAAAGGGAGTGAGTCAATTTTCGGTGCACCATTGGAAAATCAACGTTGGCTCGTTTAAATCTGACTCAAGGCCAATTTCTTTTGATTTTAACATTACAAAAAGGAAGTGAGTCAATTTTCGGTGCACCATAGGAAAATCAATGTTGGTGCGACTAATTATGACTCGGCACATTTTATTTTGTTAGTCTCGTACCAAAAAATAGGCGAGTCACTTTTCGACGCACCATTCGTTACAAATTACTTTTAGTAGGTTGGAAGGAAAATAAACAAAACCATTATTATTAAAACATTATTCAAACACAATGTAAAAATTAAAAAAAAAATCTTCACAAATTAATCTGATTAAGGTTTAAGAGTATTTTTTTCTGGTAAAGTAAAAAAATTAAATAATTTGTTTGAATAACGTTTTAATAATATTGGTTTTGTTTATTTTCCTTCCAACCTACTAAAAAAAATTTGTAACGAATGGTGCGTCGAAAAGTGACGCCTATTTTTCGGTACGAGACTAACAAAATAAAATGTGCCGAGTTAGATTTAAACGCACCCGCGTTGATTTTCCAATGGTGCACCGAAAATTGACTCACTTCCTTTTTTTAATGTTAAAATCAAAAGAAATAGGCCTTGAGCCAGATTTAAACGCGCCAACGTTGATTTTCCTCTGGTGCACCGAAAATTGACTCACTTCCTTTTTTTAATGTTAAAATCAAAAGAAATTGGCCGTGAGTCAGATTTAAACGAGCCAACGTTGATTTTCCTCTGGTGCACCGAAAATTGACTCACTTCCTTTTTTAATGTTAAAATCAAAAGAAATTGGCCTTGAGTCAGATTTAAACGCGCCCACGTTGATTTTCCAATGGTGCGTCAAAAAATGACTCACCCTGTATATGTATATATATTTCTTTACTTTACATACAAGAACTTTTATTAATTTTTTCTATAGGTGTTTTGCGAAAATATGTCATTTCACCAAAGCGTTATAATTATCATATTGTGGTAACACTGTGGGCAACATTGATTTTGTAAAGAAACATTAGTTTAATTCGTTAGTGTTTTTTTAATGTAAAAAGAAACGATTATAAAAATAAACGTCTTTTAGGCGAGGATAACCACCTTTTTATAATCAAACTATTCTAGTTTAATTTATATTTGATTAACTATCGATCAAATTTTCTTCAGGGCGAAATCTGTACTTAATTATTTAATATAAAACGATCGAATTTTACCCACATTGTATATTAATTGCTTTTCACTTTTTCGATGGGCTGTTAAATGATGTCACTCTTGAAGAGATTTAGAATTATTATATGTTGGCAACACTGTGGGCAACGCTGATTTTGTGAAGAAACGCTAATTTAATTCGTTAAAGTGTTTTTTTTTATGTAAAAAGAAACGATTATAAAATAAACGTCTGTTAGGTGAGAATAACCACATTTTTATAATCAAACTATTCTAATTTAATTTATATTTGATTAAGTTTCGACAAAAGTTTCTTAAGAGCGAAATTTGTAACCTAAAACGATCGAGTTTTACCCACATTGTATATTAATTGCTTTTCACTTTTTCGATGGGATGTTAAATGATGTCACTCTTCAAGAGATTTAGAATTATTATATGCTGGCAACACTGTGGGCAACACTGATTTTGTAAAGAAACTCTAATTTAATTCGTTAAAGTGTTTTTTTTAATGTAAAAAGAAACGATTATAAAATAAACATCTTTTAGTGAGAATAACAACATTTTTATAATCAAACTATTCTAGTTTAATTTATATTTGATTAAGTATCGGTCAAATTTTCTTCAGAGCAAAATGTGTACTTAATTATTTAACCTAAAACGATCGAATTTTACCCACATTGTATATTAATGGGGTTTTCACTTTTTCCATGGGCTGTTAAATGATGTCATTCTTCAAGAGATTTATAATTATCATATTTTGGCAACACTGCGGGCAACACTGAATTCGGGAAGAACCGTTAGTTTAATTCTTTAAATTTTTTTTTCAATGTAAAACGAAACAATTATAAAAATAAAAAGCCGGAAAAATTTATTATCACACGATTCAATTTACCTTATATTTGATTAATTGTCTATCAATTTAGGCGTTAAGAGGTTTTCCAGCATTAAAAATTAATCTGATAATAGTTGAAGCATCCCCTGCTTTACATATTTCCAAGTTGCCACCATCCCTAGAGATTGTATTTTTTCCAGAGTAAATTATGTGTTACATTATCAAAGAAGAAAAATTAAGAAAAACAGTAGTGTTTTCCTTTCAGAATATATTATGTTGCTAAAATACGTAAAATAAAAAGGTGATTTAGAAAGTGAGTCATTTTTTTGATGTTGATCAACAGGAATGTGAGTGTAAGTCGGTCGTAATTATCTCGTAAAGGGTTTTTGATTTTCTTCTTCTTCTTTTTTTATAAATGAAAATCGCTGTCGGACTCTTGCCCGGAGAAGAGGGAAAGATACGACACGTTAACGGCTCTCAGAATGAATAAACAGGATGTAAAGTGGGGGTCGCTAGGTGACGGTATCGTTTGTCATTTCCCGAAGCCGAACACCAGTTGACGTCCGACGACGATGCCACCCAAGTTGAAATTCCAAAAGAATTTCGTTTATAAAACTCCGTCTAAGGTAAATGATTTTGATTTTCCACTTGTCCTACTGTTTCCCCGCTGAAAACCAGCCCACTCCCGTGCGTTCACACTGCTTATAAATAGTGTACTATTTTCTACTCTGATCTCACCGGCCGCGATTATGCGCAGTATCTCAATATCACGAAATACCATCCAGGAATAAAAGCAATATGCTGAATTTATACAAAACAATATTGTAATTCGTAAAAACAGCTGTAGAAAATGACGCGTAGTTTTTTCTATTGTAGATTGTTTCAAAATAAATCATTCAGGGTTGAAATTATAAATAGAAAAAACCTATTGAACGAGCTATTGTGTAAACAAAACGAAATAATCCCGTAGATTTGTTTACAAAATCAGTTTGGGCTCAAGGACAGTCGGCCCCGCATTCGTGATAGTACTGCGTTGCACATGACATTTCCGTTGTCTTTTCAAAAGACGGATAAATGATTTAAAGACTAGGTTTGAACAGATGTAAAATTAGTACGGATCATCAATTATCATCATACAGTCCGGGATCTATTCATCAAAGACCGCGCCAAGAGTAGACGTGAATGTGTGACGCGAACAATGGGAATAAAAGACGTATCGCTTAAACATCGAGAAACTATTGTCGTCCGGAGAATTCACAGTTTTTCCCCCTTTTGTCGAATTATCGATCCACAGGGGAAAGGAGAGCTAGGCAAACTGGCAAACAGAATACGGTGAGTGAGAGGTGATTAAATACTTGCTAACCTTGAGGGACAAGTGGAACAGCAAGGGCGTGAAAAGCGATGGTACACATGCCAGAAGAGTATAGATATAAAAACACACTCAGTTAGTTTTAAATTAAAAATAAGGGATATTTGAAAGAAAGTACCCCTTTATCAGAACATTAAAACAATAAATCATTCAATAATTTACAAATTTAAAATATATGACCATCTAATCACAATATTGAAACTTATGGGTTTAAGCATTGACAAGAATGAACTATAAGAAATATAATTTCTTTCACTTTATCCAATTTAGGGGGCAACACATTTAATTTTTCCATAATAACGCCAGCAAAAATATTCATAAATTTAATCCCAATTATGAACAATTAAAAAATGTTTTATAAACAATATTAATTACAACGCTGCTAATGGGTTACAAAATATAGCGGACGTTAAAAATGAGTTGCGTGGGTTGGATTGGCACAGATGCTCTCACGTATCAAGAGCTCGGTCGAAGAGGGATCATATTCACTTGGCTAAAAATACATGCTAACTAAAAACGCGAGGTGGACACGAGGGACACATTCGGGCAAAAGCCCACCGGCGTGTAGAGAAAGGTTGAAATAGAGAGAGAGAGAGAGCGAGAGAGAGAGAGAGAGAGAGAGAGAGAGAGATACACAGAGTCAGAATAGAAATCAGAATTTTAAAGGAAACGAAAGAGATAAAGATTGAGAGAGAAAGAGAGAAATAAAGAGATTTATAGAGAAAAATAGAGATAGATCAGAGAGAGAGAGAGAGAGAGATACACAGAGTCAGAATAGAAATCAACATTTTAAAGGAAACGAAAGAGAGAAAGAGTGAGTGATTGAGAGAGAGAAAGAAAGAAAGATAGAGAGAGAGAAAAAAGATAGAGAGAGTGAGAGAGAGAAAAAAGACAGATAGATAGATAGATAAAGAGAGAGAGAGAGAGAGAGAGAGAGAGAGATAGAGCGAGAAAGAAAGATAGATAGAGAGAGATAGAGAGATAGTGAAAAATAGAGAGAGAGAGAGTGAAAGATACAGAGAGAGAGAGAGAGAGAGAGAGTGAGAGAGNAGATAGATAAAAAGATAGCAAACATAACAGAGAGGGAGTCAGTGAATGAGAGATAGATAGTGTGAGTGAGTGAGTGTGAATGAGTGAGTGAGTGACTAAAAGTGATAGAGGGAGGGAGAGATGGAATAAGAAACGAGAGGAAAGAGAGTCTCAAGTCAGAAAAGAGTTCAAAATTTTAAAGGAAACAAAAGCGAGGGATAGAGTGAGTGGGTTTGTGAGAGAGTGAGAAAGAGGAAGTGTGAGTGAATGTGTGCGTTAGAGTGAATGAGTGAGTGTTGGTGATTGAGAGATAGAGCACGAGAGAGATGGAATAAGAAACGAGAGGAAAGAGAAAGAGCGTTGATAGATTAACAAAAGAGAGTAGAATGTTAGTGTTGTGAAAGAAATGAGGGTGAAGGAAACAAATCGTTTTACAAGAACAGTTACCTTTGAAGAACAAACCCATCTTCTGTCTAGTCTAGAAGTAATGGAGCAAAGAAAAGAGGAATGGGCAGTGTTGACACAACATACGGCTGCTATAAATTCAAATCGGATATTTACCTTCTAAACGATAAACCTGGTGGGAGGTTAACTGGTTCTGTAACAGAAAACAATATAACCGGATTATAATTACTTAAAATTATCAAAGGTTTAGCATGAACATGCGACAATATTGATTTGCAGTGGATTAAAATCAGTCTTACAGACTACACTTGGTAAAACCCGTTCTAGATTTTCATTACTGTTGTTTTTAAGACTGATTTCAACTGTTTTTCCAATTGTGAAAATGTCCGCACGTCGAATAAGGTGATTTATCGCTTTGGGAACGTTTAAATCTTTTATTTATCCAGCGTGATATTCGAAATCCAGTGAGAGGTTTATCGTTCCGACGCCCTCGGTGTATCGTATCGTTGTCCGGTCCCGGGAGAAAAATCAATTTCCGGCGGATTTTCACCCCTCCTGGGGAAATGCTGGAAGATATGAGCTTTGAAATTAGCAGGTCGCGGAATAGGGTCATCGACTCGCTTTCCTCGCTGCACGCGATTCGAACAAAGAAATCCCGCGTTTTCGATTTGGCCTTTCACCTTTAAGAAAACAAATGCAAACTGCATTTCTTCACGCTCAGACTCAAACAAAATAAAAAAAATTGATATGATTTTAGTGTTCTGTTTCTATGGAGTTCCCAAAACGTTTTTATTAGAAAGAAAAAAAATCAAAACTTAATTCCCTTTTTGTTATGTCATGGCTAAGACCCTCTCAGGTAAGCAATAATGGTTACAATAATAAATTCATCAGATTATTATCATCGACCCTGGTAAAGGGTTTCAATCTCAAAGTTAAACACAATAAGTTAAAGTTTCATTATGTCGGCGGCGGTTTGATCGCTGGGTCCGCATAATCTCGCAGTTAGCCTATTATTAATCGAATAAACGTCGATTACAAATCTTTAAATGAAATCTGGTAAAGTTTGTCGAATAATAAACTCTTTGCCATTCCGATAAAATTTCAAAGATCGCTTTTATTGTTGCCCATCATAAAAACAGCACAATCGAGTAAATATCAAACTGACACGGAAATATGTAATTAATTTGATAAAGTTCATTGCTTGCAGGATTAAAAAAAAGTTTTTATGGCCAAGTTCTTATCTATTTGTAATTTTCCTATGATTTCTCAGTTTTCACCGCCTTGATTTAGTTAATACGTTGTCCACATGGCTTTATTTGACTCGTGAAGTTTCTTCTGTTCAATATTCTGCAACTAGGCCGATGTTGTTTACCGCAACTTGTTTGCCCGCTTTTAAGGGCGAGATTGCTGCAATTTCGGGTAGCTTGGAATGTTCGAACATGCAAACATATTTAGACAAGGGGGACGGTGGTGGCCCTAATAACAAAACAACACACAGCTGACAGTTAAAGCTCGTCCAGAATTATTAAAAAAAAGTTTTATTCGATTCAATTTATAATTTCGTTAAGAATAAAATACTTAAAAGGTATTGTTTGAACTGTAAAAACAAGCTTGGGCTGTGCAAATATTTAAAAGATACGCTGTACATCTATTTTATTTTAATTTTTTGAAAAATCATCAAAAAATTTGTTTTTTTCTAAAAATACACATCATTTATTATTATTTTACAACAGCGCTGGGGCTGAATAAAAAACTTCGTTGTTTTATCACGGTGCCATCGCTTTAAGCATCTTTGAGGATTATCGGGCAGAGTTAGGGATTAAAAGTGTTGGACTAAGTGGTTGGAATGAAGTATGAACTTTTCGCGGTTTGAGGATGAATGGTATTTGAAGGTCTTCGTGGAAAAGTGGATACGAATTCGGTCAATGGTTCATAGGATTTTAGGCTGGAGTGATTGGATTCCTCGGAGGTTGGAACGCTGAGTTGAGCCCCACAGATCGATTCCGTACGTTTCGATCTGTTGGCAGTCTTTTGAGTAGTTTGTACGACTAGAGTAATCGTCAAATATATATATATATATATTGTAACCAAGTGGCTTGGATTGCTGACCCACCTGGAGATTGGACCGGTCCAGGCCCACTCCGCTACCGATTATCTCTAGTGTTTTACGCTTCGTTAATTATACCTTGACTTATTACCTTATTTTATTTTCCATTTTCCTTTTGTAATTATTTTTCTTGCTGATACGCGAACCCTACAGGTCATGAGCATTAATCTTGTCTTTTATGACTTAAACTAAGTTGAGTCCTTTTCTCTTTCTCATTTCTCGTTTCTTTGGCTTATGCCTGGAGCCCAAGTTTTGTTAAAATTAATTTAGTTTGCTTTTTTAAAGTTATTCCTTATCCGGTTCAGGTTATAATATATATGAGGGGGAGGAAGTAATTGGTACGCACTACTTGCCAAATAAACACTTTATTAGCAAGATATACAGTATGCGTCGTTCGTCTTACACGTCTTCCGCCAAAACTCACTAAAAAACAGTCAAAAAACACCTGTTCTCCTCTCCTCACTAGCGCTCTCTTCAGCCAGACCCGGAAGGCAATTAGTCCGAGATACTCTCTCCCCACAATTCGGCCATCCTGGGTAACCATTGGTCTCGAATGGGTCATCATCGCTTGAAGTGTCATGGTACAAAGGGTCCTTCTGATTTTTTGCCTGTGATATATCTTGTTTTTAAGAATCATGGCCATTTTCTCTTTTTGATTTTTTTCAGGGGATTCTTTTCGAGTTTTCAAAGTTCTGCTCCTGTCCGTCTTCTTTCTGTGTCTTTCCACAGAAGTATCAGAATCATCGTCCCTTCTTCGTTTTTGGTACTTATAAGAATCCCTTTCACGCGACTTCTTTCTCTTTCTGCCGACTAATGCATCAGAATCACTATCATTTCTTCTTCTAGTGTCGGTTCTTCTTCTTACTTTTTTGTTGGGAGATCCATCAGAATCACTTTTGCCTTTTCTGCGTCTATCTCTATTCCTTCTACGATCTATATCACAATCATATTCTTTCCTGTGTCTATCTCTATCTTTTCTACGATCATTATCATAATCATTATTTTCCCTCCTGTAATCTACACACAAACATACTTTCCCATTTTTCTTTTTTACCAGTACTATTGGACTAGAATATTCGGATGTCGAGTGTTGTATAATTCCACCTCCTGGCCATTCCTTGACTTGCTTGTCCACAGTTTCTCTCTCTACCGGAGCCAATCGTCGTGGTCTACGACTAACCGGGATATCATCTGTCGGCACCAGCCTTAGCTTCACATCTGCAGTTTTTATCGGCATCTCACGGTATTGTTCTTTCAAACTGTGAACCATGCTACTGAATTTCGGAAGACCGACATCTAAATCTTGATTTATGCAATAGATTTGAAATTCATCGTCTTCTTTGTTTTTCTTGATATCCACGATTTGTCCCCCTTTTACGTAGAAGGCAACATTGGAGATAAATGGTTTTCCTAAAAGCATTGGGTGGTTCATTATGTGGTCATATGGAAAATAACATCGTACTGATCATCCTCGATGCGAATTGTGCATATAATTGTACCATGGGTCGTTATCCTTTCATTTCCAAATCCTCGTAGAGTTGTGGCATTTGTCGAACATGTTGGTAATTTATACGCACTAGATGACTTAAGGAGAGGGAGAGAGAGAGAGAGAGAAAGAGAAGAGAGAAGAGAGGAGAGAGAGTGAGAGAGAGAGCGGGATGACAGAACAAACCCCCTTAAAGCACTGCTTGGCTAGTTTAGGTATATAATGGAGCAAGCAGTTATGGTTGATTTGTGAAAATAAAAATAGCAAAGTATATTTTTTTAGAATTTTGTTCAGTCTGATCCTTCATTTCTTGAAACATTCTTTCACAGGAGATATAATCCTGGAGGTTTCTGGACGTAACAACTACTGATAAAATAAAGTTTCAAAAAATGTTATGCTGATAATTTTAACAAGTCTTTTATAAAAGATTTGCCTTAAAAGACACTGTAAACTGCTTTATTTAAAAATAAACGTGCATTAATTTTTTTTAAATATGTGGTGATTAGTGACCGTTAATCGATAATTATTCAGAAATCGTGAGATTCGGTCTGGTGTGATGTAGGTTTCGGAAAAACATTTTCTTTATCGTACCAACGTTTCGATCTTTATTGAGATCATCTTCAGGGCACGACACGCAAGAATGGCACAATTACACAGAAGACAAACACTTTGAGCCCTGAAGATGATCTCAATAAAGATCGAAACGTTGGCACGATAAAGAAAATTTTTTTAAATAGTTATTTTTGGGGAAATGAGGCTCGGTGTCCCGGCGGTAGAGGCCAACAGTTTTGCATGACACGGCGGTCTTGCGGGTTTAGCCTACTGTTTTACATTACATATATACGTACGATTTTACTCCCTATTAATTACTCTTTAAAAAAATTATTTTCAATCCTTGAAAAATTATTTTTACTGTTTTATCCGCGGGACATCTCTTTAAGGGTAAAGAAATATGTTTATGTCATATAGCAACTTTAGGGGCAAAGAATTTGTTTTATGTAGATTAATTAATATCAGCCTTCCATATTTTAATTTGGTATTAAAAATCTAGGATAAGGTAAATCTGAACCAAAAAGGCTTTTCGTCGAGCTTTCGAGGTATTCCCAACAAAAGAATTCGAAACTATAACATTTAGTTTTACAAAAATAAACGTCTAGTTATAATTTTCAAAGCCTAAGGTTTGCTAAGCAACCCTCGGTCCTTCTTCTCTTTATTTTGCGGTGATTGGAAATTTATCCGGCTTTTTGAGTATGCAGGAGGATCGGATTGTCCCGGAATTATTTCGCAGCCGTTTCAACTCTTTTGGGAATTGTTTGCTGCACTAGGGGAGGTAGGTTTGAAGATTAAAAACCACCGTCCCGCTCTAATCAAAAGATAAAATATTTGAATCGAATCAATTGGAAATGGGCAAACGGTACATAGACCACTATTGGATTTTTATTCTGTTCAGATTAAAAGACGCTAGAAAGATAGGAAAAGATTGATGAAGGTGAAGGAGGAAACGGTCTCTATTCCACATTTTTGTAAAATTAAAATTCATTTAGTTAAAATTAAATGCGATGATTTCGTAGTCCTGTTGATAGGGATGCCTAGAATTTTCGACGAAAAGAGTCTTTTTCGTTCAAATTTGCACTATCGTAGAAGTTTAATATAAAATTATAATATTGAAGGCTGATATTAATTATTCTACATAAAACAACTTCTTTGCCTCTAAGTTTGTTATATAATATAAATATATTTTTTGACCCTCAATATTCTCCCGGATAAAACAGCAAAAATAATTTTTCAATGAATTTTTTTGAAAAAGTAATTAATAGGGAATAAAATACGTACGTATATGTAATGTAAAACAGTAGTAGGCTAAACCCGCACGACCGCCAAGTCGTGCAAAACTGTTGGCCTCTACCGCCGTGCCACCCCGTCTCATTTTTACCAAAAATAACTATTTAAAGAAAAAATTAATGCACGTTTATTTTTAAATAAAACAATTTACAGAGAGTCTTTGAGTAGATTTTAAAGTGAATGTCAACCGTGAGGAGGGAGAACTTCAATTAACACACACGCGCACACACTACTGAAAACTATAATTACAAACAAATGCACTCAAAGATGGACAACTTAAAGTAATAAATGCACAAATACATGTACATTTACACAGTAGTTTTACACTATTAAAACACTATAAATAAAAAAACGCAAACATTCAAAAAAAGATAACAGTGAAGCAAACACACCAAAAAGTAACAAGACAAAAATAAAAATATAAAATAACAATTCCGACGTACCAACGCTTAGACCACGTGCTGACAGTTTGCAAAACCAACTGAAGAAGGCACAAAGCCGAAACGGGTTTACACTCATTCATAAATGAATTATCAATCAAAATAAGTATAATAAGAAACAGGAAGGATAAGAGCGATGAACTTTGCCCAAAAACTTCAAGTGAGTTTTGCTCATACTTCAACGGTAGGTCCTTTTGTAAACAACACTCCGTCGGAAAAGTTCATAATAAACTTTTCAGACAGTATCAAATCAAATATATTAATTTTGAGATATTTCCGTGACGAAGAATTTACGAAATTCGAAAGAATGTTTTTTTTTTGCTAGATTAGATTACGTTTTAAGGTCATAGTTTTGAAGTTATCAGTAGAAAATTCAATAACATTTTAAAAATCCAGATCGTTAAGATAACTTTTTTTTAATTTTTGTCAAATTTTAATAGTAGTAATGCTTAACTTTTTTTTTTTGTCGCAGGTTCTCCCCGGGCTTTACGTGGGTAATTTCAGGGATTCGAAAGACGCTCTGCAACTCGACAGATTCAACATCACTCATATTGTTGCCATCCACGATACCGCCCGAAAACTGCATCCGGTAAGATGATAAACAAAATAAGCGACATAAAACCGAGGGATTATAATATATTTTAAAATTGTTTTATAAGATAAGGCTGACAATAGTCTGTTTAGGATGTTGATGATATCATCAACTTCCTAAACAGAGTATTAAAGCTGAGGCCCACAACATCCTACCGCTTTATAAAGCTGACAAGTTGTTAAGAAATCTTATTATCCTGTCGATTCATTCCCAATTTTATGAGATTGTCAAGGAAAAATCTGCTGGAGTTGTCGGAAGTTTCTGGCAACGGATCATTACGATTTGTATTTATCGCTCTGATCTTTTTTCCACCCTAAGTCCTTCGGCTTTACGTTCACTTTGCTTACTTAACTTCCTTGTTTCAATTTTTCATTTATCATTCGATTCCGGCGTTTCAGGACAAGCATTACCTTTGCGTGTTGGCGTCTGACACACCTGACCAAAATCTCACCCAGTACTTTCCCATTTGTAACGATTTTATTCACGCCGCTCGTCTGCGAGGTGGAAACGTGCTTATTCACTGGTAAGTACCGATTGAGTAATTATTTTAAAAAAATAACTCGAAGTTTGATTTAATTAAAGCCTAGAGAACATGAAAACATTGAGAAAATCGCCTCAAAAACACACCTAAAGATAACAAAATTTAAATATTCAAAGCGTAACGTTAGCAATGTACTTTCAAACATTGAGGTTACATTTCTGATAGTTTGATCTCGTCCACTGCAAATTCAATTAAACTAAACTATTAATATTGTAACTACTGGTAAATTATAACTAATAGTTTTAAAGTCTTGAAGAAGCTAATTGAAATTTATATTATTGCTGATATTGAGGTATATTTGGTATAAATTGGTAGGTTTATTTGAAGGGCAACTAAAAGGGTGACAAATTGACCAAGAAATGTCCAGTGAGGACACTTTTCGGCCCTGAACCCTTTTGCGGCATACCAAATTTCCGAAAATTAAAATCCAAGAGACAATGGATTAAGAAGTCCTCGGTTGGTATACAGAGGCATTAATGAACCTCGTAGTAATTAACGGCAGAACTGCTAAATATGTGTCAGGACTAGAATGTAGGACTCTGACTGAATACTGCAGATCAACTAGACTAACAAGCCTGTGTTAAGAAGAAATAACAGAAGAACGTGTCCTCTGCTGGTGCGAAGGCCTAGGCAGACTGAAATTCCTTCTCCTGGTAGAGGAAAAACCAAGGCGCGAAGGACACACAGGAGCTTTAAGCAAAACATTGCTAGTCTGATAGAAGGCCTTAGAGTGTACGAAGAGCTCTAGAAGATTATTAATGCTGATAACTAGGGATTTTAGAAGATGCACAGAGTTAATCACACCGGATTTAGTTAGGGAAGAAGAGCAGTAGCCAAAGGATTGGTGGAAATTGGGAGAAATAATGCCCAATGGTCCGCCTTATCCTTCTAAAATGCGTACATTACATCTACAAATTTGGGAGCAAGCAGAGCCTTTTCAGATTAACGATAAGCAAAAAAACTTGGCAAAACCTCTTCCACATAATTCCATCCAGCTAAGCCAATGTATCACGAATGCCCAAGTAACGAAGGGTACCACAATTAGATATACACTGACTGAATTCGAGTAGAAGATGGTTTCGTCTTAAAAATAAAACGACTACAATGATAGACGGCAGACTCCGGAGGCACATGCCAGGAAGAAGAAGAAACAGTAGAGCATGTTCTCTATCAGGTCTAGACGTATGAACATTACAGGAGTCCTTAACAAAACTTTAGGATCTGAGAAAAAGTCACAAGCTTCACGCCCTAGCTAATAATGTAGATTGCTCAATAGACCACTATTGGTCGAAGAGAAATAGGCCGAGTACTTTTATCTTCAGGACGGTCAGCGTTCTTTGTTACCCAAGTTAGGGAGCTTGATGTCGCGCTCATCCCTACCTCTACGTAGGTACTGAGAGCGCCATATCGTGCTCATCCCGACCTCTACGCAGGTAATTAGAGCGCCATATCGTGCTCATCCCTACCTCCGCAGGTAATTAGAGCGCCATATCGTGCCGATCCCTACCTCTACGCAGGTAATTAGAGCGCCATATCGTGCTCATCCCTACCTCTACGCAGGTACTTAGAGCGTCATATCGCGCTCATCCCTGCCTTCACGCACGTTTTGGAAGCATGATATCGCTCTCATCCCAACCTCTACGCACGTACAGAGAAATCATATCGCGCTCTACTCTCTTCGCATGTAGATTAGTTTTAGAAGCTGTGTTTTTATAGTTATTTTTATTAATATCACGTTCACCGTCCTGAATGGTTTAACTTCTGGTATGTTTTAGTTTTAGACAAAACGTCTTCAGTTTAGTCGAGACACTTCGTTGTTGTGGATTTTTATTTTGTTTTTTTATTACCTTTTAAAAACAAGTTCGAGTGATTCTTTCACTGTTTGTAGAGAAAAACGTTGTGAAAAGGTTTTAGACGACAACGTCAGGATGGTCAGCTCGACCTGACCTAGATTTGTGAAAAGTCCGCCTGTGTTTTGGATCCCTGCTCCACCCCTTTTTTTACCACCTACTCGGCGCTTCGCGTCCATATCTTTTTCGCCGTTTTTCATTGAACTTGAAAACTTATCGCAATATTGTCCACCTCGCTGCAGGAGTTGAAATAAAGATGCGAAACATTAGCCTTGAATCCGGGTAGACGAGGAGGTGGCTTGGCCCGGCTCTGCAATCGATCTCTACCCCGGGGCACCCCCCGCCCTCTCACATTATGCCATCCACCTAAACTTATTACTATACAAGAACGAGAAACTATGTATATAAAAAAATAAATTTTTAAATCGTACTTCATTTCGAAAAGGACGATCAGCACTTCGTAGCCAGCGACACGACACACCCTTTGAATTATTTACCAATAATAATTAACCGTTCTTCTTTAAATTATGGATAAATACCTTCACTGCACTCTCCCTTACTCTGTACTCCGAACTTGCCAAAAATTCTACTATATTAAAACTTCTTTTTAAAAAAATTAATCAAGTATAAAAGGAAATCAGAATTTTAAAATAAAAAGAAAGAGAAAGAGTGACTGACTCTCTCTCTCTCTCTCTCTCTCTCTCTTTCTCCCCACAGAGTGAGTGATGATTGATTGAATGATTGATATTTTATTTCTACACACAAAGTTAGGCTTTTTGCACTTTTCTGCCACTTAACGTGGATTACAAATTACAAATTGGACATTTAATTGAAATTACTCCTTTACAAGTATGTTTATAAAGTCATTTTACATAATGAGAGAGAGAGAGAGAGAGAGAGAAGGAGAGAGAGAGAGAGAATGCGGGTGAGTGATAGGGAGAGTCATACGAAAGACCAAGACCAGCTCAGATATTAATTTGCGAAAATTTCTTACGTCCAGTGAATCCCTCAAATCCCACCATAAAGAATGAAATGTTAAATCAGTCTACATTTTTCTCGTGTTAAATGTTTCTTTTCTGCCAATGATACGAAGGAAAAAGGGAAATTGCGAAAAACATATATAGATAGAAAGAAACGAAATGAATTTAGATGGATAGATATAAATATGATATAGAAATAGATAGTGTGAGAAAAAGGAAGTAGAAATTCAGGGTGAATGAGCGAGCGAGAAAAGAGAATTATTTTACCACAAAAAGATGGATGTAATCTCCACATCTACCTCCCCTAGTGCAGCGAACAATTCTCAAAAGCGTAGAAACGGCTGCGAAATAATTCCAGGACAATCCGATCCTCCTGCTTACTCAAAGAGCCGGATAAATTTCCAGTCACCGAGGAATAAAGAGAAGAAGGACCGAGGGTTGCTTAGCAAACCTTAGACTTTGAAAATTATAAATAGACGTTAATTTTTGTAAAAATAAATGTTAGCGTTTCGTAGTCCTGTTGATAGAGATGCGTAGAAAGGTCGAGGAAAAAGAGTCTTTTTCGTTCAATTTACCTTATCCTAGATATTTAATATAAAATAATAATATTGAATTGTGATATTAATTATTCTACATTAAACAAATTTTTTTCCCTTAAAGTCGCTATATAATATAAATATATTTCATTGCCTAAATTAGATGTTCTCCCAGATACAACAATAAAAATAATTTTCCAAGGAGTATAGAAAATAATTTTTGTAAAGATTAATTAATAGGGGGTAAAATACGTAATGTGTAATGGGATGTAATAGGCTAAACCCGCACGACCGCCAAGTCGTGCAAAACTGTTGGCTTCTACCGCCGTGCCACCCCGTCTCATTTTTACCAAAAATAACTATTTAATGTAAAATTAATGTATGTTTATTTTTTAATAAAGCAGTTGACAGAGTGTCTTTCAAAGCTAATCGTTTATAAAACACGTGTTAAAATTATCAGCAAAACTTTATTTCACCAGCAGTTACGTCCGGAAGCCTCCTGGACTATATCCCCTGTGGAAGGGTGTTTCAAGAAATGGAGGATCAGACTGAACGAAATCCCCAAAAATATACTTTAATATTTTTTATCTCCACAAATCATCCATTACTGTGTGCCCCATTGAACACCTACACCAGCCGAGCAGTACTTCTTCACCTATAAAGCAGTAGCACTTTTTCACTCACACTCATTCTCTCTCTTTCTCTCTAGTAGTCATTTGATGTAACATTTATCAAATTTGACTAAATCATTGCGACTATAAATAAAGCATTAACCATCAAAGTAATTCTCGGTAATGAATGGCCTGACGAGGCCACCTAAAAAAACAAAATGAATGTGCTCCAATTGAGCCAGACATCTACACTTGTATACATCTCTCTCTCTCTCTCTCTCTCTCTCTCTCTCTCTCACTCACTCTATATATCCCGATATATCGTTTTATTTACATAATCTCTCAAGATTTGGTCTCGAGGACCACTCTTACATCTAAAGAAAAGTACAGATTTATTTTTACAATTGCTCTACTCAATCTTTTAGAAGGACATCAAATAAAAATATTCCTTGGTTTTACACTTTGACCAAGTCATTGTATAATATTACATAATCTGTTTACATATTAGCAAGAAGTCGAACGAAAAATAACAACAATAACTAAAACAAAAAAAAAATTAAATTTTGCTTTTCAAAATAAAACATAAAATTTCTTCAGAATATAGTAAAATAAGTGAACTTTCTTTTACAGCGTATTTACAACTACTTATTAACAGAGGGATATTAAAATGTCTGACAGTATTATGATTTAAATTAAGCATAGTTTTAAATAGAATTAACCTTAGTTTTTACATCTCTTATAAGAGTAATTAAATATATATAAACTTAGTTATTAAACTAACAATANGAATCCCTCAAATCCCACCATAAAGAATGAAATGTTAAATCAGTCTACATTTTTCTCGTGTTAAATGTTTCTTTTCTGCCAATGATACGAAGGAAAAAGAGAAATTGCGCAAAAACACATATAGATAGAAAGAAACGAAATGAATTTAGATGGATAGATATAAATATGATATAGAAATAGATAGTGTGAGAAAAAGGAAGTAGAAATTCAGGGTGAATG